TGTATGATTTTTCTGGCGGTGTCTCAGTAGAAGTCATTTCAGAAATAATTTGTCAGGAAATTCACAGAATATCCAGATTTGAGAACCAAGACCAGACCCACTTCGGGGGAGGAGACCAAATTGAAGCTGAGATGGGAAGAAACTGCATGAATGAGGCCAAAAATGGCTTTGGCATGTTTCGTATGAGGAAATGACAATATAACATGATTAAAAGTTCCAAAAGTTAGATTTTTAATTATATGGAACCTTTACAAAAACTGTTCAATTCACTTCTCAACTCCGTCCCCAATCCTGCATTTTTTAGCTATAGCACCCTCTTTGGTTCCAGAATGCTATAAAGTCTGACAACTGGAAGGAATTGGACTGACTCTGATAGAATGGGCGGGGCTGACTCTGGTGCAGCTCCACCTTCTGGTGCAGCTCCGCCTTTGTGGTTCTGCAGCGAGCACCACTTGTAAACTTGGAGACGGCCACAGAAAAGGAGCGCTCAGACTGTATGTCCTTATAAGAGACTGACCTGTGACTCTGTGCCTGTGTCTGACAGGCTCTGGCTGCCTGTGCTCAAGTGACTGGACTTTGCCTAATGAAACCGTTTAGAAACAATTTCATAGGAATTTCATTTCTTTCTATTGATGTCTTCATCAAAATGCAAGTTTCTACTTACTTGATGTTCTGGAGCATTAAAAAACGACCTGATGTCTGCCGTTTTTCGTTTCTCTTCCATTTAAACTGACCTGGTCTGCTGACAGTTGGACAGCAACACACACACAGATGGGATATTGTCATTAGAATGGAGCTGGAGGATATTGATCAACAATAATATCTTGACAATTTTGTACATCTCCATAAGCATCCTTTCTTTTCATTTTCATTTCAATAACAAGACTGAGGCCTAAAACGGAATAAGCAATTAAGAATAAAGATTTAAAAGTAGATTGTTAATAGTTGAAGTAAAATGTCCTGAAATGACATGGCTATTAGCTGACCAAGAGCTACACGTGTGGATGGATGCAAAGCATTAATTTTAAGTACTAAAACATATCTAACTTTTTCACAACAAAGAGAGAGAACATAAATGTCAAATTAAAATTTTATTAAATCACATAACATGACAGCTATTAAAATCCAAATAGTTCCATATTGATTTTAATATATTTGAAAATTTCCTTCTGAATATGTCTAGAAAAAATAACAAACTTCAAATCAGCTTTCACAAGTCAAGTATCAAAATGACTGAAATCTCTTTAATAAATCATAAAAAATTTTGTAGGCTATTAGAGAATAACTCTGTAATATTTAATAACTTTATCTAAGTCCTACTGAACGAAAAGATACACAAAATTTAAAAATATATTCTTGAAATATTTGTTTCATTTTAATAATAAAAATTAAAAACATTTACTTTACAAATACACTAAACATATACATACTCTATAGTTTATCTTTCAGTTTAATCGATCTCTCACTTTTCTCAGTTTTCATAGTGTTTTTGGGTCTGTGTGGCCAACGGGATCTTTGGCTCTATGTTTTACACTGAGAGCTTTGAGCAACGTGCCTCCACCACACATTTGCTGCAACCAGTTCATCCCTAAGCTGCACGGTGCACCTGCACTTTGACATATTGTAAACAACTGCAGAGCCTGGGGAAGACGGGATAAGAGCGGTTAAACACTGTGGTTTTCCATACATCTGACCAGTAAGTTTTGATTTTACCATATTCATCTGCTAAATAGGATGAAACGTGGACATTTTCATCGATCTGGAATGACCAGAGAACATGAAGTGACAACTTTTTTTTACTGTGATGGTGGTGGTCTGTCATAAAGGGATCTCTGACCGGTGATCAAAATCTAAAGATAATCGGTGTCTATGTTTGATATTTATGACCACATGTGACATACATATTTAAGTTAGTAGAACAAGCGTGTGATAAATGACTTACTGCTGGAAACCGCTGGCTTTTTGATTCCTGCAGCGCGAGTCCCCCCCCCCCCCCCCCCCCCTTATCTAATAGCGTCACGCTTACGATTTTATAGACTTTTTTTTACAAGCTTAGGACATGTCTAGCCTGTGTAATAATCCGGGGCTTGGGTGAATCACTTTTGAAAAGTTTTTAACTTACCCAGACACAGAGCTCTCTCCTTTCTCGCTGATGATTCGGCATGCTTGCGTTTAAGATGCTGCATCATCACCGTAGTACTCCTGTTGTTCTGTCCAGTCGCCATACCTTGTCAGACTGGCATACCCGGATTACACAGTATGCCTGTCTGACAGATGTTGTCAGTCAGACAGGCATACTGTGTCGGATCGTCATACCTTTTGTTTTTGACAATGGTATGACATCCTGATGGGTGGTTTTACCTGTCAGATCGTCATACTTTCTGTTTTTGACAACGGTATGACATCCTGATGGGTGGTTTTACCTGTCAGATCGTCATACTTTCTGTTTTTGACAACGGTATGACATCCTGATGGGTGGTTTTACCTGTCAGATCGTCATACTTTCTGTTTTTGACAACGGTATGGCATCCTGATGGGTGGTTTTACCTGTCAGATCGTCATACTTTCTGTTTTTGACAACGGTATGACATCCTGATGGGTGGTTTTACCTGTCAGATCGTCATACTTTCTGTTTTTGACAACGGTATGACATCCTGATGGGTGGTTTTACCTGTCAGATCGTCATACTTTCTGTTTTTGACAACGGTATGACATCCTGATGGGTGGTTTTACTAGTCGGATCGTCATACTTTCTGTTTTTGACAACGGTATGACATCCTGATGGGTGGTTTTACTAGTCGGATCGTCATACTTTCTGTTTTTGACAACGGTATGGCATCCTGATGGGTGGGTTGTTCAGTCAGATGTCATACCTTTTGTTTTTGACAACAGTATGACATCCTCGATGCTCAATGCATTTTTTTTTAGAATTAGGTGAAAATAAATTTGCGATACACATTCATCAGTACATTTTTTTTCCAATGAAGCTCACCAAGTTGGTGCAATGGCAAAAGAAAGCAGAAAAGTTGATTCACTGATTCCTGTTATAAAGAGCAGTCTCCATTTGAATAAAGAACTGAACATGAAGAACTTAAAAGTTATAAGAAAGGTAATACAAACTTTATTTCCAAGTAAAACACACACACACACACACACACACACACTTATTGCAATTCACACTTTTTACATTTGAAAAGGTCAACAAAATGGGTGGCACACTCTGTGAGTCCATCTTGTACAGAAGTCGCACTGTATCTATGAGGCAGAATGGAAAAAAATCAGTTATAAGTTCATGTTTAAAGCATTGGAAGTATAAAATTCTATGGCTGTGTTTTTACCATTTCAATGACGTCCTTGCATGTGTCATAGTGCAACATGTTGCATGAAACACAGTAGTCTTCCACCTTATCTGTAATATAAAGATAGACAAATGAGAATTTCTTTGAACACAATCAGACTAAATATAGCAAGGTAAATGTAGCAGGATGGTCTCACCCACACCTGATTTCAATGAACTGTCTTAATTATCAGCAAAGGGTACTGCGTTTGCCCCATGGCACATGCTCCCTCTTGCTGCCACTGCTTCCAGGTCACCCATGACTGTGCTGAGTCTTCATGTCTGTTTTCACTGACGACATGAAGGGCAAGTTGTTCATGCCTCTGGTAGGCTGCCCCCCCCCCCCCCCCCTTACCAGGGCTTCATGATTTAAAAGTGCCAAACTGTTCTGCTTCAACCCAACTGTCTAGCTTGAATTTTAACTAAAAAAATTGCTCGTTTTGAAGAATGTGTTGTAATCGTGACACTTACCATGTCCTCATTTAACACATCCATATACCATACCTGTATTCCATTATTCTACTACATCTCAAAATGTATCCTTTGTGCATGCACAAACTAAGTCTTGTCTGCCATACACCATGTCCAAACATCTTAGCTTAATCCCAGAGAGTAAAAGAGACAATATATAAAAAAAAGAATGTGTAAATGACTGAAAGTGTATGCTATATGTATTTTTCACCTTTGCATTGCAGCAGTTTTGTCGTAATGTCCATTCTGTCCTGGAACATTTGAGCAGGTGCAGTGCTAACAGACTGCAGAGCTCCCACCTGCAAGAAGCTTTCTGCAAACTGCACAAAAATTTCATCTTAAATTTCAAATCTTATTTACAAAAATTATTGCATTTGTATTCTTGGTACCCTCAAAATCAAGACCCCGCAACTGCTGGCATCGGGCTGCAGGCCATGCGGCAGAGTTTTGACCTTCCAGTTGCCCTGTCAGGCATCTTTGGCTCTCAAGAAATTCCTATGTAGTAGCGTAAATACTTAAATTAGTGTCATTGTTAGCACAATAAAAGCAACTTAGGAACCGACTTATGATGACCCGATTCACACTACCTCCAATTACGGAGAATTTTTCTTTGGTAAATCCTCTCATGGCCAAGGGGGTCAATCACAATAACCACCTTGTGGTCCATCCTGACAAGCTGTTCATTAAGTATGACATCTGTTACTTTTTAAAAGTATCCACATGAAGATTGATTGTTGTAGTTCTGGGAACAAAGATAACATACCACTAAAATCCAATGACCACCGACATTTACAGGGCACAACCAAATCGAGGCTTCTGGGAACGCCATCTTTATAAATGACAAAAAACATTGTTAGTTTTGATTCATTTTTACTTAGACAGGAGTATAGCATAGCAAATACTTACTTTTCGAAAAGCCCTGTGCTGCCCTAGATGAAATACAGATGATCCAATTACAGCATCCATGCGGTATATTGGTATCTGAAATAAAACATAATTGTGGATGATTTAATCATTACAAAATGCAAATAATGGATATATATTTTATGAACAAAATATCTATACCTTGCCTTTTTCCACAATGAGATGGAGATAAGCATCTAGGACCGTTCAAAAAATAGCAGCTTTAAATTATTTTCTAGATCCACAGCATTGGAAAAATGTGTATTTCCAAGAGAAAGTAGTCTTACTTCATCTGACAGCCACCCAACATGAGCAGTAGCAGGCAGTAAACAAACATGCAAATAACTGACCAACCGGTCTGAACCAATGGCCAACAGGGCCAAAAACTTTTTTTGGTTTGCGGTACTACTGCGCCTTGCCGCTGCAATGTTTTCTGGGACATCATGGGAGGGGGCGAAGGAGATGTCTTGAAAGGGAGTGAGGGCGGAGTCTTGGGACGGGGTGAGGGAGATGTGCAAAGAGGGGGTGAGGGAGTTGTCTTGGAATGGGGCGAGGGAGACATGCTCAGAGTGGGTGAGGGAGATGTCTTGGGAGGGGGTGAAGGAACCCTCCAGGGAGAGAGCGAGGGAGACATGTTTGAAGGGGGTGAGGGTGATGTCTCAGGAGGGGGCGAGGGAGATATTATGAGAGGGTGTGAGGGAGACATCCTGGGAGGGGGCGAGGGAGACATCATGTGAGGGTGTGAGGGAGACATCCTGGGAGGGGGCAAGGGAGACAACTTGGAAAAGGGAGGAATCACCTTGTCGGAGTCCTGATTTTGAGTTTTCCCCACCAGATGTGTTTTGCCCACGTACTTAATAACTGACTCCCTCTCTTGCTTCTCACTTGATTCAAGTTTTAGAATTTTTGATGGTGGTTCATCTGGCCCAGCTTCCTTGTGTCCCACATTGCCTCTTTTGTAGGGCTTTAGGTGAGTAATGCTGTGCTTTGATTTCAAGTGTTTCCCTGTCATAGTTGTCAGCATAGCAGTCTTGCCCAAGAGTTGCTGGATTGTGTATGGGCCAGAATAGTCACGCTCCATCCTGGCTCCTTTTCTACTTCTTTTTCTTACATTGTACAACAACACCTCATCCCCTTCTTTGAATGAAAAATGTTTGTATTTTTTGTTCGCCCTATTTGCATATGCTTCCTTCATTTTCTGTTGAGCCACTTCCACATTTTCTTTTACCTTCTCATCTCGGTACTTTTGTACTTTTTCTTGCTCATTTACATATTCGCTGTATTCCATTGGAAGGATAATAGATGACAGCTACATTGCAAAAACAGATCATGTTTTTGCAATACAAATGTTACACATTTAGACACTGTTATAAAAACATTACTGTTAAAAGATTCTATGTCTGAAAACGATTACAAGTATTTACAAAATCAGCATGTATATTAATATGTTAGTACAAAGGAAGATTCCAACATAACTCATGACAGGCAGACTCTTACCGGCATTTCAACAGGAAGTTCACATGGGAACCTTGCCTCTCTTCCATACATTAGGTAGAATGGTGAGAATTTTGTTGTGGTGTGCATTTTGGACCTCAGTGAAAACAAAGTGGCATCTAGATATAGATCCCAATCATCCTGCCTTTCATTAACAACTTTTCTGAGGGCCCTAGAAAAAAAGAGTTTCATGCTTCAATAAGAAATACTTCAATTTCAATACATCTTTGAAATATTTATTCTCATTTTCTAGTCACAAAGCCATAGATGAATGAATACATGCAAATTATTTTAACTCAGTGAAGTCTGAGACCTAACTTTACAAAGTACAAATACAGGACATGTTAAGCTGTGGCAAGGTGGTAAAACAAGGGCCCGGGCGGGATTCGATCCCCAGACTTCCAGGTGAGAGTCATGCGTGCTAACCAGTCAGCCAAACGGATGTCCCTTTGGCTGACTGGTTAGCATGCATGACTCTCACCCGGGAGACTGGGGATCGAATCCCACCCGGGCCCTTGTTTCTCAATCTTGCTTCAAAGCAATTGTCAAAAGAAGTTAAAACAAGACACTGCTGTAATTGTTTTCTCACCGTTTAATGTTGTCATTTGTTTTTTCATCCAATCCATTAGTCTGCGGGTGATATGCTGCTGTCACACTCCTCTCAATTGAAAGGAGCTCACATAGTTTGCTGTTGATCTAAAAAAACAATGAGGCACATTATAATTAGTTATTTTACAGATTTGACTTTTAGGCCAAATAAAAATTTATATTAAACATAACTTACTTGATTCACAAACTCTCGCCCTTGATCTGTAAGAATGCGCAGAGGACAGCCATGCCGATAAAAAATCGTGCATACATTTTGGGAGATTTCCTCTGCAGACTTGGTTTTCAGAGGGAAAGCCTCCACCCACTTTGAAAAATAATCTGTGGCTGTCAATATAAACTTGTAGCCAGAAGGGGTCTGGGGAAGCGGACCTGTCAGATCCATTCCGACCAGCTCCCACACACCAGATACCTGTTGGTGATAGATTAAATGTTTATGAACAGAAGTAACATAGAAGTAATAAACTAACAGAATTACAATGGACAGTCACCTTGATGCAATCCAGTGTTTCGACTACCTTCAGTGGAGGTCCAACTCTTTGGCAATGGTCACATTCAGACAGCGAGAAAATGTATTTTGTTTTATGAAATTTATAAATATTGTATATTAGAGATTGCTAACAATGAGGTAACATACCCATTTCTCAATGTCTGCAGTATTGGCAATACCATGCCAATAAAATTTCGAACACAATGATTTGCAAGTTTTCACAATGCGACTGTGTCCTCCCATTTTTGAAGAATGGATTTCCCTAAAGTTGGTCCAAGCCTCCTCTTTTGATTTAATGGCTTTTCGCCTAAGCAAGGGTCCAAAGAATAGACCCCCAGCTTTATTGAAAGAATTTACACATTAGTCATATGGCGTATTATCAGAAAATGTGGTGTATGCTTAAATCTTAACAACTTACCATGAATGCTGAATTTAGAGGCATATTTCCTTAGGGTTTGCCTTTATCCTTTGGTGTAGTGCAGCGGATAGGAACCCTTGGTAAGGAGATTAAATATCTCATCCCATCTGCCTTCCATTTTACTGTAAAAAATGCAAACAAGGAAGTAATTTGAAAATTAAAACTTCTGATTAAAAAAAATAATTATACAGTCAATTATGTTCATATACACTCAAAACAACCGCATGTTGAGGAAGTAAATTATTATAAATATGACGAGGCAGCATTCAAACAATTTTTTACTTCTAAAATGTTTCTTATCTCAAGACTGAAGACATTTATTTGCCATTTACACACGGATCAACAGTCCCTGCACATTGGAATTCAGTGTTGTATGTGCACATAGTCCATGGAAGGAAGTGTTATTCCTATGATCCTCTCTGCAGACTTTATGGCTCTTGGTAGAGCTTTCCTCTCTGTCTGTGTGGTATTTCCATACTTATACCATTCTTATCTGTGTGCTTCCTTACAAAATTATGATTTATGGGTAGATACATAAAAGAAATATGGTTTTTAACATGTTTCACTTTAACAGAGACAGATCTTTTTATGTGTTGGTTTATGTCTAGATATTTTTCTGCTTCCTGGTTTGTAATTTTGAATCACATTCCTGCGTTTTTAAACAAGTAGCAAAATAGTTTAAGCAAGAAGAAAAAAAGTATAAAAAACTCACTAACATAGTAGTCAGACATGTTATTTCATCATATTTCTAGTCAAAAACAAAACTTTTTCAGGAGGAACACAGAATTAGAAACATGTTCATATTAAATGAATCTATTAAAATAGCCCCTTTCGTCTTTAAAATGCTGACTTTAATTTCCTCACGGACTGTATAATTGTTGGTCTTGTATTGTTTTTTTTTTTTACTTCTTGTTACTATTAATATGTTTCATAGCCGTCACATGACGTTCATGCATCAAAGTTTAGTTGTTTCATCAGCGATTACATTACGTGCAGAAATTGGCAGTCAAAAAATGCACTGCACACTGAAAACTGTGACTAAAGTACAAAATATATCAATTAATGTGTTAACATTAAAGAATATAAATGAATTACTTACATTTTAGTTGTAGTTTCACTTTTTCGACATGCGCATTATCTGCAAGTATGCTCCTCTGACAAGTATGCTGTTCTGACACAACACCTGATTTAACTGAAAATGCTCCCAAACTTTAGAAGTGTTTACTTTATTGGGTCTCGCTGCTTCTGCCATGTTCCTCTTCCGAACACCTGCCGGTGTCGGTAACACCGGCTCTCCCTCGCGCTGATCTGACTTGCTTCCGGTCTGTGCGCAACGGCGGCCGGGGGGTGGGGAGGCTTTTGGAAGAGTTGCGCAACACAACGAATCGATGACGCAATTCGTTGCCAACGCTTTTAGTAATCGATTTTCATCGAATTTATCGATTCGTTGTTGCAGCCCTATTAAGAAGCCTCCCAGCTGGCTATTTGTACATGGTAGCTTACATGGTAGCTTAGGGTGCTATAGCATTAGCCTTTTAGTTTGCTAGCATGAACATTTTAGCGTGTTAGTTAGCTCTTTGAAGAGCTGTTTATTTTGCAAACATTATTTTGTTAATATTTTATGAGATTACCTGTGTTTAATTTCAGTTTTTACTCTGTCTCTAGGAGAACATGTTCAAAAAAAATACATGAAGATGAGTTCCTGCATCGTTCTTCAGTAGAAGAGTTAGCTGTCTGTTTAGCTGCACTTGGGACTGCAGTGAGGGCAGAACAGTGGCTTTCTGAGGGATGTTGGTAAATACTCAAAAATGAGTCAAACTCTGATTAGCCAAACTTGGCCAAAACTCATAACATTGTAGGGGTTGCATGACTTAATTTTTTTTAGAGTCGACAGTCAAGTAATGGAAATCGAGTCGACTTTGACTAGTCGTTGATAACGTCATACACCTGAAGCAGCGGGGGGGGGTGGGGGGTGGGGGGTGGGGGTGGGGGTTCGCTGGAGTTTTTGACAATTAAAATTGCGCCCGCATTTTCTAAGTTAACACATCTCTTTTAACAACGGTAGTTTCTGCATCCTACTTCAGTCCTCCCCCCCCCCCTGCGCAGCAGCAGCAGCAAACTCACTGATGCGCCTGCAGCCTCTCGGAGTTCCTGCTGCTCTAAACATTAACATTTTTATTTCATTTTCTGTTCCTCACTTCTGATTACCTTCAATGGTGTCTGTTTGTTGCAACCACTAGGTACAAAAGCAAACTTGTTTTTATTTGACTATTTTTCTGTCCTGCCTGTTTATTATCTTCCTGCATCTCGCAGCAGCGAAACGCATCAGGCACAAATAACAGACAGAAAACATGAAAGGAAATGAGCCGACATGAACGATCGCGTGTTTAATTTGTTTTTGAGATGGTGACACCTGATTTGGCTGTGCTCAGGACGCAATGTCTGGAGCGCGTCAACGATCAGAGCTTTGCATGCGCAAACTGGTTAAGATTAGGATGGGGGTGAGGGGAAGGTAAAATTGCAAGAGGGAAAAGGGAAAAGGTCACAGTTTGGTTAAATGTCCGTTTTACCGCCAGTGTCAGTACCGACGCTCTGGCACAGCGCTTCGCCTCCGCCTCCCGACGCAGGGGCTCATCACCTGCTGGAGGACCGCATCTCGTCAGTCATTATCACGTGACAGCGACTAGTCGATGACAGGCATAAAAAGTCACTACAGAGCCGTGAAGTCGACTAGTCGACTAGTTCATACAACCCCTATAACATTGTGGTTTTTAAAAACAAGAATTACTTCTCGACAGAGGCGGTTTTACCATTAGGCATAGGTAGGCGGCCGCCTGGGGCCCCCTTGTGTTGGGGGACCTCCTATCCCTGACCGCCGGCACCCCTCACTGCCACAATATTCTTATTACCAACCTGTCGCCGCAGACGGGATTGGACATGCTTCTCGTTACCATAATTCCTGAACCGTTCAAGATATCATTAAAATTCCAAAAGTGCTTAAAAGTTTAAAAATGGGGCTTTTTGTGCATATACAATACATTATGGTAGCCACCGTGATTCCCTGTCTTGAGCGGAACGAATCACAACACAGATTCAGAGACGTGCCGAGTTTGTCATCCAAAATGCTCCGTTTTATAACTTTTGAATGGCTGATCAGATTCAAAAAATTCCAACGGTTCCTAAAGGTACATAAAAGCAGCTTTCCAACGATCTATAGCATGAAGCAATCAGAGTTATGCAAAATAGATGCACAGAAAAGAAGACCAGACACCTGCTAGGGAGGATAAGAAAGACAGACGCAACAACCTTGTCATCCCCTATGTAGCCGGTGTATCAGAGAAACTCAGGAGGGTTTTCTCCAAACACAACATACCAGTGTATTTCAGGCCCAGCAACACACTCAGACAGAAACTGGTTCACCCGAAAGACAAAACTCCTAAACACAAACTGAACAATGTGGTGTATGCTGTACAGTGCAGCGAGGAATGCCCAGACCTCTACATTGGAGAAACCAAACAGCCACGTCACAAGCGCATGGCACAACATAGAAGAGCCACCTCCACGGGACAGGACTCAGCAGTTCATTTGCATCTAAAGGACAAAGGTCACTCTTTCGAGGATGCCAACGTTCACATTTTGGACAGAGAGGACAGATGGTTTGAAAGAGGAGTAAAGGAAGCCATTTATGTCCACTGTGAGCAACCATCTTTGAACAGAGGCGGTGGTTTACTACACAAGCTGTCTGTCATCTATAATCCAGTTTTGAGATCCCTTCCCAGATGCCTCAATGCCCACGCATATCCTGGGCCATCTGACCTCAGGAATTCACATGATAGGGTGGGGCCAGGCTTCACAATGAGCTCACCCGAAACTCTGGTTGAATAGGACCCACACCCACCCTCACACATTGGCTCATGTGTTTATGTAGAAGATCATCAGGGGGTCTTTTGTCCCCTCTTCAGGGGGAAACTCCCACTGGGTTTAAATCTGGGACTCTCCACCATTTGACCTTAGAACTGAAGAAGCCTCTCGGATGAGAGGTGAAACGTCTTCAAGCAACTCAAAGAAGTCCAGACGCTTTTCTTTCAAAGCTCATTAGACTACAGTGACCTGGATGACTGAGAACCTTCACAGACACAATACATTACGGTAGCCACCGGGATTCCCTGTCTTGAGGGCAACGAATCACAACACAGATTCAAAGACGTGCTGAGTTTGTCATCAAAATGCTCCGTTTTATAACTTTTGAATGGCTGATCAGATTCAAAAAAATTCCAACGGTTCCTAAAAGTACATAAAAGCAGCTTTCCAACGATCTATAGCATGAAGCAATCAGAGTTACCGGTATGTAAAATATTGCTACGAGGGGAAATCTTGCTGTACAGCCTGATTGAAACGGAGCGCAGCGCCGCGGTGAAAGCGGATAACGGAACGGGGAAGCTAAAAACCAGCATGAAATTATGGAAATGCCTCAAAGAAAATCAACACGATCTATTAAGTGTCCCAGAAGGCTTATATCTGAAGACAGTGACCACGAGTGACAGATCTCCAGTGAACCAGGGTATGAATGTTTGTTCAGTCTTTATTTTTTTATTTGAACAACCCTAAACTATTTGCTAATTGTAAGATTCAGCTTCATTCCAGCATTATTTATCTTTTTACAATAAATAATTACATTTGCTAAAACAAAAGTTTTTGGTATAGCAGTGCACAGTGTGAAAGAGAAGCACCCCATGGCAGTGGGAAGTGCGCTCTGCCTGCAGCTGGAGAGAAACTGCTTCAAGGTCTACCACATCAAACAAAAAGGTCTGAAAGTTTACAAAAATAAATGGTCTTAAAACTGCTAAAAAAAAGATACCAAGGTTCACACTTTTTTAATAATAGATGCATTACAGTTCAAAGTTTAAATTGTTCATTCCAAATTGTTCACCCAGTCATTTTGAAGTTCCTGTTCAGTAATAAATGTAAAAAAATTCAAATCCGTTTTTTGCTTTTTTTCACTTTTAAGCTGATTTTTTAAAGGCTTTAATAGAAATAAATTCTAAATACAAACCATACACTGAAAGCTGAGGTTGTTCTGAAAAAAGAAGAGAGTTAAACACATTTTGTACTTTTAAGTACAATTTTACAGCCACAAGATAAAAAAAAACAGGCGGCTCTGTTATAATTATGGTCATAAGAGGGTTATTAAGACGGCGATGCACAAACAGGAAGTGATTGGTAGTCATTCCACTCCAATCCAGTTGGTGGCGGTAATGCACCAAATGGTTTGTTGCCAAGTGCCATAAGACCACAAATAAGAAGAAGAAGAGAGGCGGGAGCATTCGTAACAAACTCAAAGCGATAGTCAAAACTAAGCATGAAATGGAATTATCCTAGTGGCTCCAATAAGAGAAAGCAGCATGCTTCATAAAAGCTTTTATTTTCACTTATGAAAGTGACGTCGTTTTTCTATGTAAACATCAAAAGGAAGCAGAAAGGAAAGACAATGGAAAATGTTTAAGGAGAGGAAAACAAACCAAAATGGAAAATAGAAAAAAATAACAAAGGCAAAAGCACAGGAGCACTGACAGGAAAAAGAAAGCAGAGCAAATATTGAAAGCGCTCAAAAGGAGGGAAATACAGGAAAAAAGAGGAGGACTAATAAAAAGGGAAAATAACTCATGTCAGAAGAGGAGAGAGTCGCAAATCCAGTTAAAGGTAAGATTGTTGAAAATTTTGTGTAAGGGGCCCCATGTCTGTGTTCACCTTGGGCCCCCAAATTGCTAAATCCGCCTCTGCATAAGACAGTTTTCACATGGCCCACCTCCCGGGATGCCTTTCTGTTCTTTTTCTCTGCACCCAGAGCCTTTCAGCTTCGATATCAGTTTCTGGACTGGACCATCGTGGGAGGAGAAGAAATTCTACGCAGCACTCCGAGAGGCCAGCTTAGGGACGGTGGAGCAGGTTCAACTCATGGACACGTTCTCCCATCCTGACCTGAGCCAGACCAGTTACTGTTACAGACTCACCTACCACTCACACACACACGCTCTGTCACACACAC